CCCAGTCCCCCCCCTTGAAAGTTCAATAACTCGGAAACGGGTTGAGCACAAACGACGGGAATAAAAGCACAAACAAGCACAAACGAAGCACAAACGACTGTAAAAATTTGAAGTCGAAAGTCCGAGGTGGGGGGGCTGAGCATGTCCCCAGCCCCCCCACCTTGAAAGTTCAATAACTCGGAAACGGGTCAAGGAAATGGTCAAGGAGCACTTGCCCCCCCCCAAAAAAAAATTATGCCACTGCTGACTAGTGTACACTGTACAATGAAGTCACTTGCATGTAGATATATGCAGTATTATAACGAACAGAAATAATATTGTGTATAAGCTGATGGTTAAACATAATTGTTTGTGAATTACCTATGGTTATACAATTTGTTTGTCATGTTACAAAACATTAATACAGTGGTAAATTTGTATAAAAACAAATACGGGACGGTGGTGGTTAATATACAAGTTCCCGGTACTATAAAGATTACAATAATATTGTTAAGTGCATTGGGAGCCGGAGCTATATAAATAATAGCCATTGATGAATTAATTTATTTTGTCAAACGATATAGAACTTAGAATTTTGGTTGTCATAAATCTAATATTTTATTATTAAACTATACATTTTTTTAAAAAATGTATATAATATGCATATAAATATTCTTAAACCCAAATATATGCGAATCGATACAAAAAGTAACAAAATATGCAAAATTATGCAACAAAAACTTTTATATCTGAAATATATATACTATGAATTGAATTAGTATCGAATCAGAATTCCAATATGCACTTTCCAGATAAATATGCAAATACATAAAGTTCCGAGCTTTGGTTATAAATAATTACTAATTGTATCTTACTCTATTTTATTTTTATTTTTTCATTTATATTTTATGGTTGGAAATTTCCTTATTAGTCTACATGTATTGATAATGTCGACATTAGCCATATGCTAAAATATAATGTTTATTATACGCCAATGTATGACTTTAAATCAATTAATCGCTCTCCTAATGAGATGAAAAAAGTTAAATATGATTTTACATTTTTTCGATTTCTTCGGAATTTGATAATTAATTCCAAAGGTTGTCTATGACAGTACTCGTATATCAACTTCTGGATTTCGCTTTAATCTATTGGTCAAGGAGTAAAAAGAAGGCACCAATTAACTTTTATAACTACAAAAAAAATTGGAATCTCATATTTCGAATAACTTAAGATAATTGCTCTTACTGTGATCTTTGTTTTACTTTTAAATTATTAAATGGTATTATAAATTATTCAGAATAACTAGCTGCATTTAATTTCCTGTTTTCTGATTCCCATTCTCACCAACCCAATCAATTTTATGTACCATTTCATCAAACAAATTTTGCTCTAACTGCCCCTGTATCTAGATTAATGGGCTTTGAGAACAAGTATAATATTGATTTATTTTTTGTAATTATCTTAATTCTTTTAATTTATATTTAAATTATGTTATAAGTATATTATCATTATTATTTGTACGTCATGGTATCTTTAATATTATATTCATTATCTTAAGTTATATTGTATTAATATAAGATGCGCAACTGATACTTTGTAATTACCGTAACTATACGATCACTATTATGTATTTAATTTTATATGGTAGCCCGTTTAAATTTATAATAAATAAAAAATAAAAATTAGCAATGGTCATCAATTTAATTTTGTAATGCATGACAAATATTTGACGTTCAATACATGATATTATTAATAATCAACAAGAGATATTTGAAAATTGGGGAACATTTAACTCGCAATAATTTTTACGAAAAATGCCGTACAACTAGCATCTTTCAAATTCTTTATGGGCAAAAAACATTGCGTTTGTAGGGTAAATTTGTATTATATTAAATACAATAAATTGCTTCTTGTTATATTATAAAATGTATAAATGTACCCATAAATATATTGACGGACAAATTAAAAATCAGTTGAAAATTATTATTTTACAGTAATATTACGAAGGCATGAATAAGAATACCTAATAATTATTTGAACATATTATGACCTCGTTGAGGAATAAAAATGTAACTGAAAATCAATAATGAAATAAACTTAAACCATTTTTTGTGGTTAATAATAATAAAATATATAATGGATACTAACTGTACAAGAATAATTTATTACGAAAAAAACGTTAAATCATATTAATTACCTGGTTTACACTTAAAGACCTCGAATAAATTAATCCTTATCATGGTTTATCCTTATCGACAGTGTAGAAACTGTTAGCGTACATGCACAAAAAATTGGTTGACAATAATGAAATTTATAGAGATATTTTGTTTTGCAGACGGTCGTTTGATTTCTTTTATTTTTTATATTTTGCTCTCGATCTGTATATTTAAAATATTGTCATAGAGTTTGAAGTTGTAGTGGTTACACAATATTTTATCGGAATATATCCTAAAGATACGTTTTATTCTTTTTTTGATTGGCAGTGAAAGGCAGTGAAATATAATATTTTTAATTCTTCTTTTGATACAAATTATCTCATGAAAATTTTAAAATATATAAAATCAAATTCTAATAGTTGATACCTAATTATTTTAAATAATCAAGATAATTAGGTACAATATAGTAAGATGAACGAAATACATACGTCGAAATATGTTTATTCGTTCTCCACGCATTTAAACATTAAATATTCACACAGGCGGTCGGATACAAATCTAGTACTTACTAATATAAATGAAAACTTTTATTTAAATAATTTGTTCAAGCACATGAATTTCGATCAAAATATTATAAAAATTAAAATCTCAAATACAAAATTAGGAATTTAAAAAAACAATGTGCGGATCGGTTGTCGTATGAAAAAAAGTTAATTAAAAATGTATTTCATTTCAAAGTAATAAAAATTATACATTTTTCCGATATTTTTCTGCATACATGTTAGCACCAGCTTATTTTATTAATTATAAGCATAACCGCGATGGTTTCAAAAAAATAAACGCTTTGGAAGCATGAACGCTCATTGATCAATAAAATCTACCCCTACACTCTCACGGAAATTGTTTCACATGACGACTAACTACTAACCAATGTTTATGATGTACACGCTCCATCAGTATAACTAAGACGTTTATATTAAATAAATAAATATTTTAATTCAAAATAATATGTTCTTGGAAATATTAGACTACTGTGTTATTATATTTGATTTCAACGAATTTTGGCTGGTTTATTATTATATTATTACTATATAATGCTAAAGATAGACCTATCATAATAATCAGATTGTAGACTTTTTATGATAATTATATTGTTATATAAACTAATATAGAATAATAAGTAACCTTATATATATATATATATAATATTTTAAATTATTTGATTTTGACGAAATGTGTAAAATGTGTATTAGTAAACCGTAACCGATAATCCGCAAGTATGGTCGGCACAATACGAAATAAAGTGTTTTGAAGTACTTCCCGAAATGCATGCCAAACTGCAACACGTTGCGGTTTGTCCCGACCACAGACTTCTATATTAAACTCTTTTTCACGAGAGAACGGGACCGTTTCGTGCATGTAGAATGAGCGCCAGTCGGCTTGTCCGCCTGTGAAATCCCCTCCACGCAGTCCGAAAGCTATCGATAATTACCTACTTGTTTGTCGGGCGCCGGCATACGTCGTGCTTGTATTAATTTACAATTGATAACTGATTTGAAGTGTTGGCGATAATTTAAGAGCTACGTAAATTTGTTCGAATTACATTTTTTTTTTTTTTCACAAAAATGATGGTCGAGTTAAATAAAATATAAACGAATATGTTCTATTGATGTGTGCAAACGTTGAATCAGTTATAACGTGCTACATGAATTTAAAAAAAAATATTTAAAAGAAATAATTATAATCGGTACATTTATTGTTTTGATTTGTTAGCTTAAAATTTACGAATTTCTACATAGCATATTATTTTCACTAACCCTTCAGTTATTAATTTTTATAAGGAATTTTAATAATTATAATAGTTACATAAATAATATAAAACATTTTATAAACAAATACAATCATTTAATAATAAAAAATAAAAATATTAATTCATTTACAGTCTTACAGTAATAAAAAAAAATACAATTAAATACAATTTAAAAGTCACTATCATCTGACCCTGATGTAGTGTCGCCAGTAATTGTCATTACGGTAGAATCCATGTTCTCCAAAACGTTTTCGACATGGAAGTCAATGGTCCAGAACTTATCTTCTTCCTTTTTGGTATGTTCCACAAAGTTTTTCCACATTTCTGGAGTAACTCGATCAACTCCATCTCGAAAAAGTTGTTGCACATCGGTAAGTTTGAACGTGGTGTTGTTCATTTTGACGAAATTTTTAATAGATGACCATGCCAGTTCTATGGGGTTTAGCTCGCAGTGATAAGGCGGTAAACGCAAAATCTCCATATTTTTGTCCTGATGAATATGTATTCATCGACGACATATTTATTGAACTGTGGTTTTATTTTTTTTACAAGTTCCAAAAGTCTAATTTTTAACATTGGTTTGTTAAAAACAACACCTTTTTTATCTAACCACTTTTCAATGTCATCTTTTTTCCAAGTTGATGTTGGACAAGTTTCAATTTTGACCGAATTATATGAAGCATTATCCATGACAATCACACTATTTGGCTTCAGTAATGGAATGACGTCTTTCATCCAGTTAAAAAATGTGACGCCATTCATCTCATCATGGTAGTCTAAGGTGTTTTTTTTCGATTCGAACAATAAGAGACCACCTGGCACAAATCCTTCGTTCGATCCTATATGAACGATTATAAGTTGTTTGCCTTTACCACTTGGGTTGGCAGCACCAGTTGAGAGACCTTTAAGAAATGCATCCCTACATGATGTTACCGTGTTGTCAACCCACGTTTTTTTCGAACTCTTGCCGGCATTAATCCATGTCTCGTCCAGATTGTAAATTGGACGCCCGTCTTCTCTGTATTTACGAATGGTTTCTATATACTGGTTTTTCCAACTGACAATGTGATCGCTTTCAAGCAACGCACTATTTCGTTGCCTTTTTTTATATACAAAATTAATTTACTTCATAAGGCTGTATAAAGGTGTCAATGACAAATTAGGCAAGTCTTGGTCAGTATTTACGGCAGTCAAAATTTTGTTAAGCGTCGGTATTTCGCGTTTCAACCAGAAATCGTAAATTTTACGACGAATAGCATTTTTTTCAAAGTCATCAATTTTTTGAATTATAAAAGTCCGGTTTTTCTTTTTATTAGACGATTTGAGTAATCCAGTGTTTTTATATTCAGAAATTGTTGATCCAACAGTATTTTTTCCTACGCCTGATATTTGGGAAACTACTTGAATGAGGTCCTTGTATTTCATATCCGGAAACTCATTTTTTTTGGTTTTATAAATATTTATAATAACTTCCTTCTTTTGGGAAGAAACAAACTAAAAAAAAAAATTATTTAAGTATTATAAATATATATTTGTTTATTGTAAAATTGTATTTAATATAATATTATATTTTTAAAATTATTTGATTATTTAATTAAATATATATCATGTAATTATTTATTCATATAAATGTATTATAAATAATTTTATATATTTTACAAATAAGAAAAAAGAAATAAACAATATATAAATTATAATCCATAATTTGAGTGATTCTTACCTTTTCCTAGGATTTTTTCTAACGGGTGATTCGTTTGTATTAAATCATGATCTAGACGGTTGATCACTCATTTTAATTAAATACTCAACGAAATTGTGAAAAAAAACGATAAAGTTCAATTTATTTTAATGCACAATACAGTGGAGCGGAACTATAGACCTTATAGTAGTAGATGGAGCAGTTAGTCAGCGGTCACTTCAGTCGCTACGTATAAACAACATGTTTGCCGTCAGCACCGTGCCGACGGATAACGACGAGCGACATCTGCCACCAGAACTAATATCAATGTTGTGTTTTTAGGTGGGGAATGCGCGGCGGCGACCAGTTCCGGTTGGAAGATGGTCCCGTTCTCTCGTGAAAAAGAGTTTAGTATAGAAGTCTGTGGTCCCGACGAGTTTTGAATCGGTTTACCGAATCGATCAGTGTGGCCCCGATTATGCGGTTTATATGTTATTTATTGATGTTGCGATCGTTTACCGATCGGTTGCCGATAATCCGGAACCGATCGGTAAACGACCGCAACATCCATAAATAACATATAAATAACTAATAAACCGCATTTTTGGGGCCACACTGATCGATTCAGCTAACCGATTTAAAACTCGTCGGGACGAACCGCAACGTGTTGCGGTTTGGCATTGCCGATGCGTTTCGGCAAGTACTTCATTTACAAGTACACTTTATTTCGTATTGTGCCGACAAAACTTGCGGATTATCAGTTGCAGTTTACCAATACACATTTCGTCGAAATTAAATCATTTAAAATATTATATACATGTTTAAGGATTCTATTCTATATTAGTTTATAAAACAATATAATTATCATGAAAAGTCTACAATCTGATTATTATGATAGGTCTATCTTTAGCACTATATAGTAATAATATAATAATAAACCAGCTAAATTTCGTTGAAATCAAATATAATATCACAGTAGTCTAATATTTCCAAGAACATATTATTTTGAATTAAAATATTTTCCGTGCTTTTTAAATCGGCAACTAATAAAACGCGTAGTGTGGTCGGTCTTCCCGATTGCGGTTTATCGGGATGCGGTTCATCGGCAACCGACAAAACGCATAGTGTGGCCCGAGCCTAAAGGTGGATACATACTATGTAACAAAACGGCGAACATGCAACGCGTATCAATTTGACGAACTGTTACTGTTACAAAAGAAATTAAAGGAAATACTGGTGGAAATACTATATTACATGATTTAAGGACTCAAGAAATAAATGGACAATTTCAAAATTTTATGAGAATGACGTCAACAGATTTTGATTTGCTAATTAATCTTATCGGACATAAAATTGCCAAAAAAGAAACAGGTTTAAGAAAACCTATATCAGTACAAGAAAAACTAACTGTAGCTCTTCGATTTCTAGCAACTGGCGAATCATTCAAAACAGTTATCCTCTTGATTTTTAAATAAATATTTTTCAAGAACCTCTGCACCTTCCTGGAAACGCCCTTGTAGAGCCTATGTGTGACATCTTCTTAATTATGAATTATTAAAGTGAACTACAAACCTAAAATGAATAAGTAAATCCTCTCTGGAGGTTCATATGGGATAAAAGTATAATGTTAGACAGCTATGTTCGTCAGAGCGTCCAAACATATTATAACGTGATCGCGTAACAGCTTTTGATGTTTCGTCAAAACACCGACAATCGGTGGATCGCCGGTTTGTTACAGAAGTATGATACAAGTACGCCGATTTGTTACACACGGATACTGTTCGCGAACTCATGATTTAGGAGTGAATGAGAAACAAAACTTGTTTTTCTTAAACTGAAGTCTGTATTGTAATATTATTAAGTTCAAACAAAAAACCATTAAGTTTCTCAATGTAGTTTGATTCAATTACGAAAAATAACGTATTGTTGTTCAAGACTCATTTTTTTTTTGGCGGAATGAAAAAATGATTCTACTCAAATCACTTTTGATAATGATTTTTAAAGCCGCTTATACTTGATTTCCGATACAGATGGCGATTTTCAATAGATATTTGTAGTTTCGTATATATACTCATACACTTGTATTTTGTACGGACGGTAAATATTCCACTTAAAATTTCACACAATTCGCGTGGCGGTTTGATATTTTCAGGAAATCAAACGAATTAATAGTAGGACCACGAAATGACCTACAAGGTAGCCAAACTCGATATCGATGGATTCATTTGCCCCTATGTGGCCGACATCTCTTCGTTTTTTTCCTTAGTTTCGGCCATTTAATTCCACACTGCTAGCCACGAATCTGGTGTTTTGGTCCTGTTTCCTGCTGTTTCCCTCCATCTAATTTCTGGTTTCTATAATTTAATATCTTTCTTCGCAAAGTCTTCCCACCTTAGCTTATGTCTACTTAAAGGTCTTCTTCCCCTAGGTTCTTCATAAATCACTTGCTTAAATATTGCTATTTGCGCTATGCATGGCCTGTCCACATTGATTATATTATATTACTAGCCGACCCGTCACAGCTTCGTCCGTGATTGGTTGTTTATTTTGCCTTCGGACCATGATATGTAGAATTTTTTATACAAATATTATTGTTTAATGTGATCGGTAAGTAAATATAAAAAAACGGTTAATGAAAACGGATTGAAATTTTTCTAGCGTTATAAATGATAAAAATAAATACAGATAAAAAAGAAATTTGGTTGATAAAGAATTTGATTGAAGTTGATGAAGAAAAAAAAGAAAAAAAATAATTAAAATAAGAATTTTATAAGACTTCTGAGTATATGATGTTTTTTGTTATATTTCCTGTTGAAATTAAAATCATAAGACGATTCAGGTCCCCAGTTTGAGAAAATGCCACGGATAATTGCCAACTTATAATACGCCAACGTACTTTAATGTTTGACCTTGCGCTTTGTTTATGGTAATGGCAAAAGAAACTTTAACCGGGAATTGAAGCCGTTTGAAAGAAAATGGCAAGTCAGAGGAAATCATGGGAATTCTTGGAATAAATTCAATTTATCCTTTCGCTGGCCCTGTAAGATTTACGGCTTCTATAATATTATTTCGCAACGATTTTATTTGTAATCTTGTACTATTATATATGTTCGGTGGTTGAAGAATACGTAATAATGTAATTGGAACACATATTTTTAATTTTAGCTTATGAGGAGGAAATCCCGAAGGAGAAAGAGAATTAAGAAATTCTTGTGGATAATGAATAGCATCATCTGTTGATGTAACTGTATCAATAGATAGATATTCACGTGAGTGTCCATCGAATTTTATAAGGATGATATCATTAAGTTGTTCCAGTATGCTTTGGTTGTTGATAGAGGGGCAGACGTTAGATATTACTATCCTTTTGGCTAAATTGTTTAGTCTACGAATTTGAAGCTTCTGGTTGTTTATAGTTATGAAGGGGTGTGTATCTATTAAGTTGTCTAAAATTTGTTTACTTGATAGGAAAATGCAGAACCGATTGTTAGAAATTCTCGATACGAATGTGATATTTCTGGGGGAGACTATTTTCCCAATTGCTAACACATATTATTTTTGGGGGATGCCATCAATGGAGTTGAAGACTATGGTCTCTCGACGGTGTTTTATTGTTTGCGGTGATTGTTGCGAATGTGGTATTGCTTTTATTATGTTGTGAATTATTAAGATTGTATGAGCTATTTGATGCAGTGTGAATAACCGGTGGATAATTGAATAGGGTATGATTGTAATCGATGTTGCTAATGGGTTCATTAGTGGACGAGATATTATGTGAAGCAGATAGAACGACGTCGGTATTGCGATTAGCGACCACGTTATTGCTTATTAATGATGTACTCAGGCTTGATTGTGATTTTGAGTTTGTGATATTGAGTTTCGTTGGCAATATATTTTTTTGGTTCGTCTTATTTAAAGGTGTGTTTGTTGTATTTTTTTTGAGGATTTTTAGCCGTTAAACCTACGTTTGCAGGTTTTAGCCTAGGTGAGTGCCCTTTGAGGGCATTAACGGACATACTGGAGTTTTACCGTCAAATAATGTTAATATTACCTGTATGTAGAGAAGATATGGATATGCTAACGGAAGCTTAATAAAGGCGCACTCGACGTTCGGAGGTTGAACACGTATTGCAAAAACTCTTGTGATCAGTTTTCTCTATATATTAGCTGCATAGCAACATAGACATATTTTTTTCTTTCATTAAGTGTTTTTAAAATAACAAATATTTTTATCAATCGATTAAAATGTTTTCTAGTTGGTTTTAAGTAAAGGTCATCTTTTATATTCCTTGTTAAGTTTAAAAATAGGTTAGAAATAGTATTATAAAACATACGGCAGAATGTATGATGTGCGGGCACATACACATAGATTCAGACATACATACAGACACACACACATATACGCAAGCTTGCGCACTTATTTTAACAACAATACATCGATTTTTTTTGTTTCAGAAATGATTCCATTACAAGTTTTAAGAGAATAAGAATTTTAATGATTGTTCATTTTTATATACAAATATATAATGTTGAAGACTATTTTATGCGACTTTATCGTTGATATTTTATCATTTATACTACAAAAAGCTTCTAACCTAACTGTTAAAATTGTTATTTTTACTTCGATAACTTATAAATTTGATGAATATATTTTAAATATACTGTATGATCAGTACCATTAAAAGATAGTACTTAACATTTTTGAGAAGCATTGACTTCAATGAACGATAATAACTATAGTCGTAAGCACGAAGCCGTTAAATTATTGAATTATAGGAGTTTATTCAGTAATATTGTCTTTTATTGTCGTCCAAAAATGAACATTAATAGATATAGATGAAGTCATGCAGCATACTAGTCAAAACATTCAGTTAATACTTACAAGCTTAATTGTTTTGGTTTTATTATATTTTTCAAAAAATTATTGTCTTTCGTTTCGATTGTTCTCAAATTACTTTATTCAAATTTTTATACGACGGTGAAATTAAATTTAGTCTACATCAAAATGTTTATTATTTTAAGTGCTAAACAATTTTCATTATTACTGTAAGATAAATTTTAAAAATATTATTTGACAATATTCGTACTAAGAATAATAAAAATAAATATAAATAAATCTAAATTCTGTTCAGAACAAATAAAAATAAAACTATGTACATCAATAATAAGGCCGATACTAATATTTGGTTGAGAAGTAAGATAAGTGGAACACAACAAATATTGTAGACGTTTGAAAACAAAATACGGATAAATATATGCGGTCCGGTCAGGAATCGAGGACTGGTTCATGGCGTAAAAATAATTGAAGGAAGAATTAAAAATGAGTAACAGTTAATGTGTTAAACAGTTAGAGTTAGGTTTTATGAAAAGTTAAAGGATACAATGACTAGCACATGTGATGAGGCGTAATACTTATGCAGTAACCAAAATAGCACTTAATTGGAAACCGGACGGAAAAAAAGCCACGAGGTCATCCTCGAAAAATATGGATGGATGCTTTAGAGAGAGTGATATAGAACAGTGTTTTTTAACCTGGGTTCCGCGAAGATCACTTGAGGGTTCCGCAAAAGTGATGTGCTGTGTTTTTATCAAAATATTAAAAATAGAAAAAAGCTAGAATTCTAGAGGCAGCTAGTGAGAAACCCCGTTAGACGTGTACAATATATTGTATGAGATATTATTATATTGTGAATGATGACGATAAGGGTAACGTCGATGGCATGACAGTATCGAATAATTATTTATAACCACATGTTATCGTATATTATTATAAAATTTTATTTTACGAAGTATAATATTACCAATATTGTACTTCAGTACGTAGTCGTTCGTTAACTGTTGTTCGTCAGTTGTGTGTGATGATATTATAAAATATTATTATTATTATCATAATATTACCAAAATTGTACTTCAGTACATATTCGTCCATTCGTAGTTGTCCGTTAATCGTTCATCAGTTGTGTGTGGCAATTTATTAAAATATGAGTAAACAAAAGAAGTTGGATTTCTTTTTAAAAAATCCAAATATTAGTGTTATTACTACTGCTGAGGAACCAACATCATCAACGAGTGATGTCACATCTTCGTTGGAACCAAAACCAAAGAAATAGAAAATTCGTAAGTATTACGATCCCTCATACCTAGGATTCGGATTTACATATAAAGATAATTGCCCTCAATGCGTTATTTGCTCGGAAATTTTAACTAATAGTTCTATGGCTCAAGCAAAACTTCCAAGACATTTGGAAACAAAAGACCAGCAGTATAAGAGTAAGTCAATCGATTTTTTTAAAAGAAAAGAGAGTGAATTGAAAGCTCAGAAGACACTAATTCGAAATACGGGAACTGAAAATGAGTTAGCCCTTAAAGCGTCATTTTTGATATCACTTCGCATTGCAAAATCAAAAAAAAAAATTTACCATAGGAGAAGACTTAATTATGCCTTGTATGGTCGATGCCAACTTCACACTTTTTGGAGATTAAGCTGCTAAAAAAATAAAAACAATACCTCTTTCTAATAATACAGTTTCAAATCACATAACTATGATGAGCGATGATGTTCATCAGCAACTTATAAGAAAAATAAAAAGGTCAAAGCTCTATGCTCTTCAATTAGATGAGTCGACTGACATTACTCATAAAGCATTGCTACTTATTTATATTCGGTATGTGGACTGGGACGAAAAAGAAATCAAAGAAGAATTCTTGAACTGCTTGGAACTGAAGAAACATACAACTGGCGCTGAAATTTTTTCTGCATTGTCTGATTGCTTCTTAAGTACAGATTTAAAGATGTCAGACTGTATCTCAATTTTTACTGATGGCACGGCTAATATGACTGGTAAGCATGCAGGACTAGTCCTGCATGAATATGTTGTCTCTTAAATTTGAAGAGTATTTCCCTTCAAATCAAGACCCAAGAGATGGTTTCTTATGGATTTTGGATCCATTCAGTGCCAATAGCTCAACAAATACTTTATCAACGAATGAAGAGGATATGTTGGCAGATCTTTCCTCGGACGTCACGTTGAAAAACTTAAAAAACAATTCATCTCTAGATAAATTTTGGATAGAAGTTCACAGCGAATATGAGGTATTAAGTGAAAAGGCGTTGGGAGTCTTATTTCCTTTTCCTTCAACATACTTATGTGAAAGTGGATTCTCAGCAGTCACTGCAACCAAGACTAAATATCGAAAAAGATTGAATGTGACGCCGACACTAAGACTTTCATTAACAAACCTTACTCCAGATATTGATAACATATGCAGTCATATTCAAGCGCAACCATTCCATTAATATAAATTTAATCTAATCAAAATATATAATGTTACTTCTCAATATAATCTAAAATCTAAATTCTAAATAAATAATTTAATTGTATTTTGCTGTATTTAGTATTTTAATCACTAAAGTTTAGTGCATTGCGAATGTTGCCGCTTATCGCCATGTTTTGTGTACCCTTCTTTTTTAAAGATATTTTAAGAGGGGTTCCGCATGAAAAAAATATTATTGCCTGGTGTTCCGTGATATCAAAAAGGTTAAGAAACACTGATATAGAAGACCTCGGATCACAGAACTGTAAAAATATAGTACAAGATAGATATAAGTGGTGGGATTTGGAAATGGCGACAAAAATTCTTGAAGCGTTTTAAAAGCTAGAGAAGAAGAATAAACAATAATGATAACTATAATAATAATAATATATTTTTTATACAAAATAATGACCAGTAAGGAGATCATCAACACTTTTTCCTCTCATACTTCGTCATCTCAATCAAACTATCCGCTGACAACCTCTGATCACGGGACTTCAATGTGATATCACTCCATATTTTGACTTGTCATTTTCGTATACGTATAAAAAACAATGTATTATTTAGAAAATAAGTGCCCACTAACGGTGTTGTATCCAATCGACGACGGTATTTTGGCAACGAGAGAGTGATGTGCCGGTATTACACCGGTTTGCGTTTTCTGGTGGACGGATATAGTCATCGTACATCGTCGGTATTACGAACGTGGATGCGGGATGACGTGTTGCGGGAGTGGTGAAGTGTTATATTGTACGTCCCGTACCGATAATTATTATATGACTGATTTAATACTCGTATACCTAGTTTACAATAATAAATCAAACTGACAAATTAGCAAAATATAACTCACGTATTTGGACTAGTTTGACATGTATCATTTCGATTAGGATTTTATCATAATCATTGTCACTAAGTTTTGTTTTTTTCGGATAATTTTTGAGATTCGACTTCTTAACATAGTAAAATTCGCATTGCTTATAATTCATTAATATTTCTACATCCGAGTGATTTTACTACTTAAAGCCATTCGTTGTTCGATATTAATTTATTCACCAGATTTTCAGACAAGTTTCCAAGGGTAAAAATTGTAAATGAAAAATATGAGATAAAATAATGGAACATGGGCGTTAATGGTGTTAATGAATAGGTATCATACTTTGAAATCAGACAGTGAATAAAAATCGAAAACAATCTATAAACAAGTTTGTTGAAAACAAGACGTTTTTCAGAAAAATAAGTCCGACACACGAATGTTTTCATATTTTCCAAAAATCCTAGAACGAGCAAACGGAAGAGAATGATACTAACAATGTGTACCAAGTCAGCTTTAATCATACTAAGTATCGACGTAATCAAAATTATTTGTATATATTTACTCGTATGTATCATCGAGTTCAACAATTTAACTGCTGATTAATGGATTCCGACGGGTGCGTAAGCAGTAGTTCCACTGCAGTCACTTTAATTTCATCGTAATAATCGCCGTGCTCGCGTGTCATTTTTATTTGAAATTCAAATTTGTCATCTGGCGTGGGATGGCGGGAGACATGTAGGGAAGTAGAGAGGTGGCGTCTCGACGACGATTTCAGAACGACTCACACCAATCGTCTCGTCTGCAACACATACGAATACACGCGTCCATAGAACAACGACCGAGCCCTCCGATTACTTCCAATTAGCGGAACAACGGATCCCAGGGTCGTTTACTTGCTTCCAAGTATACACGATTCCCTCTCTCCCGAATGAAAAGTGTTTAGATTACAGCCAAAAACGGTACGTTTTTAACATAATTATATATTTTTAATTATTTAATATTATATACTGTGTATTATAATTATATATTTTTTATAAATGTATGTACAATACTTATATTTAAAGCACGTATTAAACTAACCAATGAGTTGCAAAAGTCCTATAAGCGTTAAAACTAGGACTCTCGGTTTGATACGTGTATTGATATTTGATATACACGTGTACACGTATTCCGAACATTAAATAATATGTAGTAATACACGTGTATTTAATTACACGTTATTTTAAAGTTTGTGTACACGTGTATTAAGATACAGCATAATATAATATATATTATATATTACAGTTATCATTCGACTTTCGAAGTGAGCACACGTATATTGTAATTACCTATCTAATTCAAGTCGCTTATCTTCTTTTATACGTAGTGTCATAGTACGCTCTAATTAAGTTTACTGATTTTATATAAAATATTATACACAATGTTGTGTTACTCGTGCAACGATGATATTTTTGAAGAAGACTCTATAGAATGTACTTCCTGCAATGAGTTTTTTCATTTTATGTGTGTGAGTTTGAAAGAGGTAACTTTTCGCAAAATGTCGAAACTAGCAAAATCAAAATGGACCTGCTCTAAGTGCAAGTACATGGACAAAAAAGATTCTCCACCACAGATTAAAACTTTACAAACAAATAAAAACACCTCTACTGATAATAACTTTATAAATTTAACTGAATCAGTAAATTTCATGAGTGATAAATTTGACAGTTTTGGTGAACAATTGAAAGAAATATTATCGGAAATGAAACAAATGAGGGAGGAGAATCGAGAGCTAAAAAACCAAAATATTAAGTTTAAAAATGAAATCACTTTATTGGGAAATCGTATTAATATCTTGGAACAGAAGGCTTTGGATAACTTTATTGAGGTCATCGGTATTCCCGAAATTCAAAATGAAGTCTGCGCGGACACAGCAAAATTAATTTTGGCTAAATTGAATGAAGAATCGTCGGTGAAAAAGGCTTTTCGGGTTCAATCTAGAGACTCAAAGAAACCAAGGAAGTTAGTAATTGAAGTAAACACACCACAATGCAGTTCCAAAATCATATCTAGTTCAAAAATCCAAAAACCAAGAGGAATCACATTTCATGATCAATGGGGTAACGAGCCAATATACGTAAATAATTTTTTAACTCTGTATAATAGAAATTTACTGTTTAAAACAAAGGATTTCGCTCGAGAGGCCGGTTTTAAATACGTATGGTTTAAAAACTCAAAATTATTTATAAAGAAAAACGAAAATCATAAAGCAGTTCTCATTGAAAATGAATCATCTTTATCTTTATTATAAATAATCTTTTTAATATAACAAAATACAGTGGATATTGTTTATTTTTTCTATGGCTAAGTATAATAATTTTACTGTAAATCATAAGTTTAGAACAAATTATTTTGATTCTTTTTCGGAATATGACAATTGTTTTAATGATAAATCGGAATGTTTTATAAATATTATTAGCTGTAATATTAGAAGTATAAATGCACACTTTGATGAATTTATTTTATTTCTTGAAAATTATGTTAAGAGTGATAAAATTGATATAATAATTTTAACAGAAACGTGGCACGATCCATTGTCTTGCCACTATGAATTGCCTGGTTATAAATTAATGTTTTCTAGCCTAAAAAGGAACCAAATGATGGCATAATTCTTTGTAAAACAACATCTAACTGCGGATTTCTTCGACTACAATTTATTAGATTATAATATAGTAAAGCTTTCTTTCAATTTGAATAATATGCCATATAGTATAATATGTATTTATAGGTCACCTTCTTCGGATTATACAGGTTTCTTAAACTCATTAAGAGATGTTCTTAATAATTTAAATTTGAATGCAGGTATAATTACTCTAATTGGAGACGTAATATTAATATTATCGGAACCCATTCAAACAATTATGATTATCTAGACCTTTTATCAGAATTCGGTTTTACTTCTTTCATAAATGTATACACCAGATTACCTCAAGGTCAACAACACTCTTGTTTAGACCATATTTTCATCAAAGATAATAACTCTTCATTTAAATATATAAAGGCAGGTGTTTTACAATCAGAAATCACAGATCATTGTTCCATTGTAGTTACAATTCCCGTTACTAAAAAACCTAAAATTATTAAAAATCTTCTTGAAGTTTTTAACTATGAAAAACTCAGATTAATTTTATCAAAAGAAACATGGAATAATGTTTATAACTCTAATTCGGTTAATATTTGTCTCTCTAATTTTCAAAAGTCAATTATGAATGCTATAAATGAATCGTCTTCCATCAAATATGTAAATTCTAAAAATAAAAAATTAAAAGAGTGGATGACTAAAGGTCTGTTATGTTCTGCTCATCACAAACAATACCTCTCGTTAAAATGTAAAAAAAATCCAGATAACATCGAACTAAATTCATATTTTAAAAAGTACAAAAATAGTTTTACAAAATTAATTAAGCATGCCAAAATAAATTACTATACTGAAAAATTCTCTAGTGTATCTTCTAATCTAAAATTAACTTGGAAATTGGTTAATGAGCTAACTAGTAGAAATTCTAAAAACAAAGATTCAATTGATTTTATAAATATTAACGACCAGTCTTTAAATGTCGAAGATAATACTGAAGAGGCTGCAAATCATTTTAATAAATTTTTTGTTAATGTTACTGAAAATCTAGCAGGGAATTTTAATAAATTTCCAAAAGTACAAATAACTCATAACAACACGTCTTTATTCATTTGATGATATTTTCTTAAAAGAAATTGAAGCGTCTGAAGTACGAAAAATTATTCGAAATTATAAAGATGACACAGCTGCAGGGTATGATCAGGTTACGGTAAAAATTTTAAAAAATATCTCCGAATTAATCATCACCCCATTGGTATTTATATATAATTTGAGTGTTAAGGAAAGCATTTTCCCTGATGACTTCAAAATTGCAATAGTCAAACCGCTATTCAAGAGAGGTGATCGTAGGTATATGTCAAACTATAGACCAATATCTTTATTGACCAACTTTTCTAAAATTTTTGAAAAAAATAATTTGTTATCTAAAAATCAATTTGGTTTTAGACAAGGGCTTAGTACTGAAAATGCTTTATATCAAGTTACACAATTTCTATACCACACATTAGATAATGGAGCAAAAACTATTGCCATATTTCTAGACCTTGCGAAAGCGTTTGACACTATAAACCATGATATTCTTTCTCAGATTCTACCTACTTTTGGTATTAACAAAAGGAATTTACTTTGGTTTCAAAGCTACCTCTCAGATAGATTTCAACAAGTGAAATTAAATAATGTCCTTAGTGATAGAAATCTTATAAAATTTGGTGTTCCGCAGGGAAGTGTTTTAGGCCCAATTTTGTTCTTACTCTATATAAATGACTTATGTAACCTAAATGTAGATGGTAAAATAATTACTTACGCTGACGAAACTTGTATGTTATTTTCGGGTATTTCTTGGAATGAGGTTTACCATAAAGCTACTATTGGATTAAACTCAATATATAAATGTATACAAGATAGAGGTTTATCATTGAATGTGGATAAATCTATGTTTATGAAGTTCTCTATAAATAAATGTACGAATACCGATTCTCCGTTGTTGATTCATAACTGTAATAACTTTTTGATATGTAATAATATAAACTGTAAACAAATCAAATATCGAGAATTCGTTATTTAGGTGTTATTTTTGATGAAAATTTGAGATGGAATTTGCATATTTGCAATCTAGTTAGTAAGCTCCGTTCTACTATATATCAGTTCATAAGACTAAGAGTTCTGTTACCAGTTCAAACGATTCGTATGATTTATTTTGCCTTCTATCAATCAATTTTCCAATACGGGCTCTTAGTATGGGGAAGGGCAAAAGAAAATGCTTTTAAACCATTACAAGTAAATCAAAATAGTGTAATTAGAATAATTTTAGGTAAAACATCCTTAAATGGTTCGACAAAACTAAATTATAATCTTTTAGGTGTTCTTCCAGTAAAACAATTATACAAGAAAAACGTCCTACTATTTACAATTAAAAAATATATAAGAAACAATACCAATGTAGTTGATGTATCTAAATCAAGAGAACACAGAGCTTATAACTTATCGGTGTTATACACAAAAAAAGCTTTTGGACAGTGTTTTGTAGACTATTTAGGCCCAACGTACTTTAATCAGTTGCCAACAATATCAAAAAAAAAATATTCATCATGGTTTATTGAATGAGAAAAAAATTGTTTATAAATGGCTATTTTCTGAATTAAATATTTCTCAGTTAAATCCGCAGTTATTGTAAGTTAATGTATGTTATTTCTTATTTTATAAATATTTTTAGTTTCTTAAGTATTTAGTTTATCACCCTTGATTTCTTTTTTAATAATTGTATATATTTTTATTTATATATATTTTCTTAAGTTTAATATAATTATGTTCGCTTGATAACACTCTACTCCACCACAAGCCTAGGCTTAAAGGAGTAGATATATTCTTTATTCTTATATTATAATTACTTTATTGTATTTGTATCAAAGTGTAAAGAAATCTATCAATAAAAAAAAAAAAAAAAAATATATTATATTGTTTTAATATAAATTGTTTAAAAATTATTCAATATTAAATATTCATATGATTATAGTGTGTAAGGATGAGGTATATAAGTGGAAGAGGTATGGAGTGCTTTGAAAAGTGACGGAATATAAAAATGAAAAATCATCAAAAATTTATTTTTTTAATAATTTATTAAAATTGATCCTTTAAAATTATATATATCACTAATTATGACAATATTGGTAAGAAATAATATCAATCCCTTAATGTAACAAAGTATACAATATTTTTTGTTATCCCATCTTTCGCCAACACAAACAAATTGGATGGTTCGAGAGCACACCATGTATAATTGTCCGTGTGAAAAACATAATGTACTTAAATCTAAGCCACAGACAGACATCGTTTGGCCTCGAGACTTATTAATAGTCATTGCAAATGTCAATCTAATTAGAAATTGAAGGCGTTTAAATTGTATTGGCATACCTGTAGGTATAATATGGATTCGCGGTAGTAATATATTTTCACCTTGGAATTAGCCATTTAAAATTATGGCTTCGATAACATTTTTCATTAATTTTTTAATGACTTATCGCGTGTCGTTGCACAACCGTGGTGGGTTCAAATTACGAAGCAAAATAACCGGAGATCCAACCTTCAGTAGTAAATTATGCGGTAGCTTGCCTGATAAATCCAATGAGTTTAAAAACTCTGTTAGATAATTTACAGCTTCAGTAGCATCGCAAACTGTATCAATAGATTTGTATAACTTTCATCTGTAATAACTTTCCCATTACCGATATCTAACAATTGTTTTGAGAATCTTCCACACGCAGCTTTTTTTGATTGAATCGCAAGTATCGTAATCGATCGCTCTCTATCTTTACATACATGTCGATCATGAATTTTTGACAAAGCTCACGATATCGTAGAATAACGTTGTCCTAATCATGTCTAATCATCAACTGATATGCATAATAATCTTTCGAACTAACATTCTTGCTTGTTATGGCACTTATTTCGGGATCTTTATGCAATACCCGTCATTTAATACCAAAAATAAAATTATTAGTTTTTAAATAGTTTTTAATAATTTTTTAATAGTTTCATTTAATAATTCATTTTCAATTGCGCAGTTATCGACCGGGTTAAAAATTATTAAATTAAACTACGATTTATTAAACAATAGCACTTTCTAAAAAATTTTTTCGTATAAACCTTCTCCTGGCAATTACGAACAATTAAAATAAATTTGAGCCAAATCGGCCCAGCCGTTTTCAATCGATGAAATGTTATACATTTTTGGCTCCATATTTATAAATATAGATAGATAGATAGATTAGATAGATAGATTAAATATAATTTGTTATGTGTAATACATAATTTTATTTTTTGTAATAAACTATATAATTACATTGAATTTTATTATTTTTTTAATTTTATTTTTAATATTTTTGGTTCATTTTGTTATGTCATTAGGCGAATAATAATGTAAGTGAATGAACGTTTAGAAACTTTTAAACGTACTTCACGATTTCTATCATACCTACATACTGCAAGTCGTATATGTATAAAATAAATATTCACGATTATTAAAAGTACCTTTAGTGAATTTATATTAAAATCAAAATTGTCAAAACTTATTCAAATAAATTATTTATTTGATTATTTACTAAAGTAATTGAATAAACACATTTTATATTTTAAAAAATTGTAATTAAAATATAGTGTTGTATTTATATTTTTGATACTATTAGTAAT